TAAATAATAGCAAGAGAGTGCTTTTCATCAGGCTTTACTGCTTTATTTATAGGTGTATTTGTCATTTCCACTGTTCCTTGAGAAATAATGTGAAATAAGTGAAATGAAGTAAACACGTCTTTATTGTATTCTCCATTTATTCTTTAAGGTATTATTATCATCTATCATCTTGTAGAGTTTGGCTAGTTAAAGGTTTAGTCAGTGTCTTTCTTTAGAATTTACCTTCTAACATTTTTAGGTGATCATATAGGACAATGTTGATAACAGCTAAAAGTGACAAAAACAGTAAAATGGCCAACCAAAGGACTGAGATAAACACTTATTAAGGGAGGGTTAGTGGTTAAAACAAAAAAAAAATAAAATAAAAGGTCCCAGAACCCAGTCCCTTAACTGACTTGAAAGAGCAAAGAAAATAGAAAACATAGGATAGAGAAAACTTGTGCAGTCACTGTTGGTACTGTTTCCTGCTTCCTGCTTGATGTCAAACATAGATCCCAGTAAAATGTTAAGCAGTTGGTCCAGGATTTCATCAGGAGTGCACTGTAACTGATTATATAAAAATCAACAGACTGTTTACATTTATCAAAAAGCTTTCTTTTGTCCTAAAAGTTGTATAATTTCTCTTATCACAACTTTCATTAATTTTATATTATCTTATTTTTCCCTTTGAACTTAACATTTGGGAATAAGTACCTTGGTGACAGTAGTTGCAGCTACAAACTATATTTCTTTCTAAACTTAACTAATCTGGGCTTGCATAAAATGAATGAAAAATTGGAGCTCCTCTGATCTGTAGTACATTTTTGTGGATGTTACTTTCTTTGTGTCTTGTCGTATATTCCAATAGGTGTTGAAGTCTCAAAATTGTTTTGCAATGGAAATCCACTGTCCTACACTACAAGCCAATGCATAATTAAGAAAGAGCAAAGAATAAAAGATATGGAACAAGACAGTATGTCTTTATAAAATTAACCAAAATTTGCACAAAATCAAAAATGTTGTCAAACAACTACTACATTTACAGAAGCAGATTCATTCCTCTCTTAGAAATTTAGAAACTCTTTCTAACAATCCTTAATGATCTAGTGCTTGTACTATATGCAGGTCACACTCTTCTAATCATCCAGAACTTTAGATTTCGTTTGGTGTTTATGTCAACACAAAAGTTTGGCTGTTCTAAAATTAAATCAGTCCATAAGCTTCTTAAAAAACTGTTCCTTTAAACAGTTTGTCACAAATGAGAGTAATTTACTGGAATAAAAAATACATATACATATACATGTAGGAAGAGATCTGTGATTTGCGTGTCAAGGTAACACTGTAAGCATATTGAAAAATCAACATATTTTTTCTATTTTTTTCTTTCCCTAATTCTGAGCACCGGCTGTATTGTATTAAGTATAGATATATGGATTTCCTTCTCCCTTTCTTCCTGAGTTGGAAGAGGGGACATAACAGAAGTCCACTAGTGATTAAGTTGGTTTTCCACAGTGTAAATTTGAATTGAAGCCATCTTAAAAAGCAAATAGCTTTATTAAACTAAGAACAAAATAATTCAGATGCAATAATGATGATTTTTTTTAATTAATTTTATATCTGCTTCAAAAATTGCTTTTCTTCATATTGTGAATACTTCATAGAATCATAGAATACACTGAGTTGGAAGGGAACCATCAGGATCATCAAGTCCAACTCCTGACAGCCTGAAGCGTCACACCATGAGAGCATTGTCCAAATGCTTCTTGAACTGTATTAGGCTTGGTGCTGTGACCACTTCCCTGGGGAACTGGTTCCAGTGCCCAACCACCCTCTGGGGTGAAGAACCTTTTCCTGATATCTATCCTAAACTTTCCCTGACTCAGCTTCAGGCCATTGCCTCGAGTCCTGTCACTGGTCACGAGAATGAATGGATCAGTGCCTGCCCCTCTGCTTCCCGTCATGAGGATGTTGAAGACCATAATGAGGTCTCCCCTCAGTCTCCTCTTCTCCAGGCCGAACAGACCAAGTGACCAAGCCACTCCTCATACGGCTTCCCCTCAAGGCCCTTCACCGTCTTCATTGCCCTCCTTTGGACACTCTCTAATGGCTTAATATCTTACTTATATTGCAGTGCCCAAAACTGCACACAATATTCAAGGTGAGGCCACACCAGTGCAGAGCAGAGCAGGAAAATCCTCTCCTTAGCCCAGCTGGTGATGCCTGATGCCCCCCAGGACACAGTTGGCCCTCCTGGCTGCCAGGGCACTGCTGAGTCATATTCAACTTGCCCCAGGTCCCTTCTTGTAGCACTACTTTCCAGCCTTTTGTTCCCCAGTCTATAAACACAACCAGGGTTGCCCCATCTCAGGTTGTAGGCACATAGCACTATAACCTGTGGAATATCCAGAATAAAACAATACTTTATTAAATTCAATACAATATTTAGTTAAAGCAACTAGTTTCTTCATGTTTTGACTTTTATTCGTACATATTTTATACAAGTATAACAAATTTTGTGTCCAGCTGAAAAGACATGACTTGATTTCCTGACCCAAGAGGAATTCATCAGCATGCATTATTTCTAACAAATACTCTGTCTTTCCTGCTCTATGCCCTGGCTTCTTATCAGCTAAGTAATATTGAGTTTCGGTACTTATTTTCCTGATGTTCTAGGCCTGTACCTTGAATATCTGAAACAGCAGTAGCCAGCATTTTGTCTACAGTGGGCTACACAGGCTTTTAAAGGATTCATCAGAGGTGGTGAACCTTCGTTTCGATTCTCCTTCCATGTTACCCCCATGATCTGCTGGGGCTTCCTAGGATCGCCTACTAGATGTCTAAACACAGGTTTTATTCCTGTGCCTTTTACAAAATAGACTGGCATCCAGCCTTGTGACAGGATATACATGCTGTGACCTCCTGTGCCATGCATATTCCCATCACATGGCAGACATGCATTTGCCACACTGGCATTTACTGTGCTGGTGCAGGTACCTGCTTCCGTCAAGGGACATGTGCTGCAGCACCCTCAGGCAGGAGTGAGGCTACTCAAGTCCTGCAATTTTCACCTCTCAGAACAAGCAGACAGTAGCCAAATTAGTTATTTGTTAAGCTTAGATTTTTGTGTGTGACCCACTAATTGAGACCCTGCATGACATCCTACAAGGACTGAAGGGGTGTTGGGAAGTGAGATGCTCTATGTTACCATCAAATTTGAAGACAAAGATCCCAGATACTGCTTGATGCATGGCTTGGGTCAGGGATGACCCAATGGAGGCAAGACCTGCATGATCAGTTTGCTGAGATGACAAATTGGTTGTTGAAACCTCCCATGACATAGTCTGCAATGACACTGTGGTTAGTGAGGCTTTAGTGAAAACATTTTTTCTAACTTCGTAACACTTGGTCATATAAAATTACTTTGAAATAGGAATTAGAATCATAGAATGCCCTGGGTTGGAGGGGACCTTAAAGATCACCTGGGTCCAGCCCCCCTGCCATGGGCAGGTACATCTTTGCACTAGACCAGATTGCTCAGAGCTCCATCCAGCCTGGCCTTGAACACGCAGGGGTGGGGCATCCACAGCTTCTCTGACCCACCTGTTCTGGTGCCTCACAACCTTCACAGTTCTGTGTATAACTGTACAGAAATGAGTTCTGTAAATTTACCTTACCTGAGATGTTTCTACTGTATTTGACACCAGAAAAGGGAGTGGATGCAACCACACGTGCCGTTTCGTACACTTGTAGTTGTTTGTGAGACAAGGAGCAGTTTTGATTCAGGTGAACTAGTTCAGAACTAGCGATTTTACTCACATAATGTTCAAAATCATTGAATGGAAAGAATTTCTTTTTTGTTAATAGTGAAGTTGGATAAGGAATCTTAAATTTCAGTTTCTACAGTTTTATGTTTCTGCACTTAGACATATCTTACACTGTTACAACCCGGTGTTTCTTTGATTAGAACAGTTTTGTAGTAAACTGTACAGCGCCTGCAGCTAGTTGATACACTTTGTACAAAGTGTACCTCTATATTTTGTGTCTCATACTGCCATCTAAGGGCCACGTAGACTGAGAAGGTGGCTAAACGTTCTTCAATACTTTCTCCTTACTGCCCTGCCGTTTGGGAAGTCAGAAATTCATGGATGAGAAAGGTGGGCAGGGAATAACAGCAGTCCTTTGATGCAATATATTGTTTCATCTAAAAGGACAGAGGAATCTCCCAGATAAGTGATAAATTGGAATGTAAATCTCAGTCATCTAGAAAACTGCAATTGCAATGAGCTTATGTAAAAAGGCCCATGAATAAGAACCTAAGATTACAGGATTTGAGGCTACCCCTGAAACAGCAAGTTGAGGAATGTAGTGCTTAGAGGCCTGATGAGTTTCAGTTGAAACTCAGCATTGAGGGAGTGTGCAGTTTAGATTCTTAAAGGTACCAAAGTCCTTAACTCCTACTGATTTAAGGACTAGTGCTTTGTAATACAATTTTCTTACTAAGATTTTCCCTAAAAAGGTACAAAATAACATGAATTATTTTCTTCTTTTTTCCTAATAACTGGTTTTGCATTTCTGCATGTTTTGATTTTCCTGCACTAAGGGAAAATGGGCAAAAATTTGGTGTTACTTTAAGAGTATGTAATATTAAATAGCGTTAACACAATTTAAATATTTTGGGGTTTAACCATTCAAAGTTTTATCATGAAAACTTATCTTTCCAGGATAAAAATGCATTTTTATTTTTTTAATCTACAAACTGTATTTGTGTGGACTTAATTCTATAGCTCCTTTCCCATAAGATGTTTTCAACTACAAGTGTGATAAAGAATTAGTGGCAGAAGTGAAACATTTCAGTATTTGTCAATATCGTACTATTGGCATAGACTAACAGAAGCAGTTTATATAATGAGGACCCCTTTGAGCATGACTTTATTTTACAATGTATGAGTTGCTTTTCAGGCTAGTTTCCAGCAAACCCTGTGTAATAGAGAAAGTAATTAATCTTGCATGTTCTTTGACAGGCTCATGCAAGCAAAGACCTGGAAGAGCAGTTGCGGTCTGTGTCCAGTGTGGATGAACTCATGACAGTACTTTACCCAGAATACTGGAAAATGTTCAAATGTCAGTTGAGGAAAGGAGGTTGGCAACACAACAGGGAACACTCCAGCTTTGACACAAGATCAGATGATTCCCTGAAATTTGCCGCAGCACACTATAATGCAGAGATCCTGAAAAGTAAGTACAGGACACAAACCATGTTCCAACACAAAATAAATTAAATTCTGAAGGCTTTTCAGCTGTGTCAAAAACGCTTTAAAAGCTAACCATTGTCAGTAAACCAACCTCAGCAGCCTGATTTGATGTGTTGTCTATAATATAAAATCTTTGATAGTCCGCATTACATAATGAAAGAAATCGCTCTGTAGACATATTTTAGGTACATCCATTGTGAGAAAGTTGCTTTCTCAGCTCAATAGATAGAGAAAGTGCCTTCAGGTATAAGAAATCCTACTTTGTGGAGGCTGTAAAAATTTTGCAGAAAGCAAAGGGGATGCTAATAGTTGGAGTTGTTGAACTGTTTCTGCTCATTTTTTGCAATTACATCATGGCTTAGTAATGCTTTCTTCTCTTATGCCTTATGGCTTTAGGATGCCAAGTAATCCACTTGTAACTTTTCCCTGTTACAAGAGGGCAGCTGTCATGATGTTATGCTAAAATGAGAAAAAAAGGGCTTTCAACCCAATATGTCAATATCCTTTAGTGTTTCAGATTGCTTGGATAAAAATATATTAGCTTAACAGTTTAAACAAGTGCTTCTAGGCAGAGAAATGTAGGACTTATAGCAGAAGGTGTATTTTTTTATGTGATATTGGATATCATATATCTTAATGGAGACTTTAAAGTACACATCAGGCAAATTTTCCATTTCTGGTGAACAGCCTACCATAATCTAATGCCAAAAGAGAATAAAGGGTCCTGCACAGCTGCAAGTCTCAGGACTGTTCAGTATAAGATTGTATTTGGTAAAAGGCTGTATAACATGATGTAAAATCTTTGCCTAAATTTGTGTGGATAATCTGGGCACAAGTATCATGCTTCAGATTAAATCACATGTTGTATATAATTGCTAAATAATAACCTTTTGCTTTCAATATTACCCTTGTAGTTAACAAACTAAACATGTATTTAAATTAATTTCACATTAAGTGTGTAAAATTTAACATTTCTAATGTAGAGTATTTAAGTGAAGTACTGTGTGGGACTGTTTAAAATTACTTTGAAGAGATGTGCAATACTTCTTTAGACTTTACCCAAGATAAGACTTACCCCAGGTAAACGAGAAAGGACATGTACAGCTTGAGCTGCTGGCCAACAGGTCGAGGGAGGTGATTCTGCCCCTCTACTCTGTTCTGGTGAGACCCCATCTGGAGTACTGTGTCCAGCTTGGGGGCCTCCAACATAAGAAGGATGTGGACCTGTTGTAGTAGGTCCAGAGGAGGGCTGTGAAGATGCTCAGAGGGCTGGAGCAGCTCTCCTATGGTGATAGGCTGAGAGAAGCAGCCTTATAGTAGCCTTCCAGTACCTAAAGGGGGTCTATGAGAAAGATGGGGAGAGATGTCTTGTAGCAGGGCCTCTTGTGATAGAGCAATGGTAATAATTTTAAACTAAAAGAAAGCAGATTCAGACTAGATATAAGGAAGACTTTTTTTTACAATGAGGGTAGTGAAACGTTGGAACAGGTTGTCTGGAGAGTTGGTAGATGCTCTATCCCTGGAAATATTCAAGGTCATTCAAGTTTGAACAGGGCTCCGGGGAACCTGATCTGGTTGAAGATGTTGCCGCTCATTACAAGGGGGCTTTACTAGGTGACCTTTAAAGGTGTTTTCCAACAAAAGCCATTCTGTGATTCTGTGTTTTAAGGTCTCCCTGTTAGGGTCCCTCTTAGCTCTGCTGTGACTTTTCTTCTGCTGCGTGTCAATATGTCATGTTCCTACGAAGAAGAAAAATCAGGTAGAAGTTAACACAGAGAGATGTGTATTTCACTGACTATGGGGTGTGACTCTAGCAATGGATATTATGATTCCAAAGTTTAAAAAGAATCCTAATTTACTTCAGGAGAGTATTGTTTTTAAACAGTTACTTTATAACACATGACATTCCCTATAACTTGGCAGGTATTGATACTGAATGGAGAAAAACTCAGTGCATGCCACGTGAAGTGTGTGTGGATGTGGGAAAAGAGTTTGGAGCAACTACAAACACCTTCTTTAAACCCCCATGTGTATCCATCTACAGATGTGGAGGTTGCTGCAATAGTGAAGGACTCCAGTGTATGAACATCAGCACAAATTACATCAGCAAGACAGTAAGTTCTCACTCTTTTATTACAGTCCAAGTGCTACTTGCAAATCCATATATGATCATGCTTATTTTAAACCTTCTTATTGCTACTATGACAAAGGAAAATATATCAGCTGTTTTTTGTATGTATTTTCCAGACTAAACAGGAAAAACAGCTGAAGACTACTGCCTGGAAAAAAATGTTTAATGCTCTTTTCCCCAAAGTATATTATTATTTTTTTTAGGGAAAAAATAAATTCTGATGTCCAGTTCTCAGTTTTGAGATTACCCATGAAACTTAATTCTATCCCTTTCTTTTTTTTGCATCTACCGCTTACCTGTATGAGGCAAGCACTCTATGAAAAACTAACCTATAATTTTATTAGTGTGGACTGTTGTAGGACGTATGCAGACAGGATACGTTACAAATAAAGCCTATTAGGAACTGAGTTTTACTGTATTAAGAGATATTAGCATATTTGTTTTGTTGTAATGCATCTTCCTCCAGGTGTATGCGTGGGTTTTATTCTTCCAGTTCAGGGCTAGTGATCAGGTGTAGAGATCATGCACTGAGCTTGTGAGCTGCCTTTAAAGGAGAAGCATATATTACGTTATTTTAAGTAGGTATAGGAATTATCTTACAACATTTTCCTCAAAAAACGTGTAAAAATAATCACACTTAAAAGTGTTTGCCAGGGTATTTTGCTGTTGTTACGGTATTTGGTAGGGGGTTTGTTGTTTGTGGGTTTTTCACTTTTTAGTGTAAATCTTGTTTCTTCTTTCAACTAGATTCATCTGGCTGAAGATGCAGTACATATTTATAATGAAGATCCAGAACTGCATAGCCAGCTATAATATCATAGCCCTTGGAAATGTCACTCCTTTATCATGAAACTTTTTCGTGCTCTGAGGCTTCTTGAGAGGGAATTAGGAAAAAGGGACATAAAGAAAACAGAAAAAACTACTGATTTTTTAAAATGCATTTTCTGCCTTCATTTCTCATCAATCTGTTTGTCTGAAATGGTATATTTTACCATGAATTTTAAATCCCAAATTTAAGCTAGTGGTAGACAACTGTACAGCACAGGAATAATGTAACTCAAATAGCTTAGAGAAGGAAAACTACAACACTGACTTTTCTCAAGCCCTGTTGTTTTTCCCATTAATAGGAGAAACCGTTGTCTTAATTTGTTTGTTACTTTAAGATGCAATTAATTCCTAAGTTACTTTGAGATACAAATATAATTCTCATGTTAAAACCCAAGAAATATGATCTTTTTTTTTTACATGTATTGATGAAGTTTAGCTTACTGAAACAAAGGATGATCTAGTCACAGAGAGAGTTGTTCCATGCAACACAGATTTCCTAGTCTTTGAGCACCATGTCAGTTTGGGGTAAATAATATCTTTCTCTTCATCTTTCTGTTCGTGTCTATTGAATAAAGTAGGTTTCTACCCAGTAGAAAATGTTTAGTAGTGAGTTTCCTTTTGAAGTTCTTGATGTTATTGGTAATGATACGATGTAGTTCTAGTTAAAGATTTGAGAGACTCTGAAAAGGAAAATCTTAAAGGTTTTATCACCTTTATTTTCTTACCTATCCTGAAAAAACCGGTGATTTAATCTCTGAGTTTTCTATCTTGCTTCTGCTTTCCAGTTTTATCTTGTCCTTGACAGAATGCAGTTTAGAAAAACTCTTAATAAAGGAAGAGACCTATAGCTATATCTCTTCATCTGTCACCATCTCAAATAGTTTTAAAATTATGTGACCACAGCTTACCCTATATTAGATGAGAATTAAGAAGAAAAAACTATTGGATTCAAGACCTTCTGTGGAATTCAGGTACCCTTCACATCTATTTTCACTACTGTTTCTCTATTATTTCCTGAATGAAATGGGAACAAATGATTAATAACCAGGAATCTTTTTTTCATAATTCACCATAAACTTCATAAGATAACTTCATAATGTTCACCCTGCAGAAAAAGTGCTTAATGGGAAATTAATTTTTCAGCTGGAGGTCTTACTGTGAGGGCAAGCTCTAGCATTAGTTCCAGACATTAAAGTATAAAGAAGGCTGATATCAGCTTTCATCAAAATTAATTAAAAATAAAAGGACTAAGCATAGAAATTATTTTTATAGGGGGCAAATCATTGATTGCTAGGAGGATGGACCAGGTCAGATGTTCCCAGATTGCCTTGTGGAACACTCTGGTGGTCCAGAGAGAGGTCGATAGTTTAGTTCAGGCTGTGTTCCTCCTTTCTAGCTACTTAATTTTATTGAGAAAAAAATAGAAAAGTATTCTGCTTTGCTTTTAATACCATCTTTTTTCCCACAAAAACTGTTTCTGTAGTTGCTAAGGGATGTTTATACAACCATGATTGAGATATGAGATAGTTTCTTAATTAAGATATAGTATAAGGTCTACAAAAACTTTTGAGGACCCCCTAGGCTAATTCATAAAATCCAGTAGACCTTCTCTATCTGCGACACTGCAAAACTCCAGTTTGTAAGTGGTGGCTTGTCTAGTAAAGGTCTATGGGGAATGTTTTTCTTTTGGTTTGTGGTGTAGTTGTGTTGGTTTTTTTCTCTAATTTGTTATCAATCAAGCAGCTGTTCTCTGTTTCCACGACAAGAATAATTCAAAAATTGGAATTACCTGGTACAGCAACAGCCTATCCCTGAGCTGCACTTTTTTTATGCCCCACCTATAGCCACTTGTTTATAGGTTGAAGGGAAGCAGGGAGCGGATGTCAAAGAGCCGTCTCACTCCATTCTCCCTCTTGGCTGGCAGGGTGACAGTTTTTTGACTTCTTTCAGATCATTTGTTGTAAAGGTCCTGAATCTTCTTGTTTCAGGATTACAGTAATAATCCCTCAAAGGAAAACATCTATCCAAGCAGTTCGAAATTGGATTTAGTGGAGCGTTTCTCACAGGAAACAAGTTAACACCTTGAAATTGTTGGCCATGTTTGAGATCTACATGGTGTTCCTTTTCAAAATTTGGATATGCATATGTCACAAGACTTTTCAGTTGTTTTGAGCATTACTATTTATGCCTTTTCCCATGCATTTTCCTGTGTAAGACTGATTATTGAAATTATATAGTAGGTACTAATAATAGTGGGAGATATGTAAGTTCCAAATGGTGTTTTTTGTAGAAATTTCTGGAAGAAAAAAAAAGGATTAAAAAACCCAAACAAGCATATTAAATAAGTATTAAATTTATTACATCAGATAAGTTACCTGTTGTATCACACATAAGCCTTGAAGTACTGTCTTTCAAGAAAGTTAGACAATAAAATAAAGGTGATGTACCATCTCTCAAATAGTTCATTTTCATTCTTTTCAGTATAGAGATGTTTAGTTTTGAAATCAGTCTTATATCCTTACCTTAAAAATCTCTCCAGATACATTGTACTCTGTTACACTGGTTATATTTGGCTGGCCTTACTGACACTTAAGGAAGTGCAAAGATCACAAGTGATGGAAACTTAAACTCAATCAATTTAAGGGAAACTTGCCAAAATAAACTAACGTCCATCAGAACATAGTGTAGTTAATGTAAGTCTTGGGGAAAAAAAAAAGAATATTCTATATTTGAAAAGTATCTAGAATGGTAACCTTCCCTTATCCTGATAATAAAATAACAGTTTTGGATAATTTATATTTTATAAGTCAGTGAGCATAATGATAATTTTAAGTGTGCTGATGCAATGGATATTGGCACATATGATGATGGTGCTGAATAAATTAATGTAACCACTGAAGCAAAGAAATACTTTGTATAACAGTAAACAGTTTTTCTGGAAAGTGTAGCACAAAGTCCTTGTAGTCTAAAGAAGAAACTATCAATGCAGTGAATCAAAACTACACACCTTTTTGGGCTTTTAGTAACCTGGTCTAGTGGAAAGTGTCTGGAAAGTGGTTGGAACATGTCTATAACATCCTTTCACTATTCTGTGATTCCTCCTCCATTGAGGAGGAATACCTGGAAGATTCCTATTTCAGGAGTTCTAGTAGCGCTTTTGGTCACACACTCAGAGATTCCTGTCTTCTGTTACGTTTTTTCTTTTTTTTTTTTTTTTTAAACTTTAAAGTCATACTAAGTTCTAGGTTGTGCACCAGACTCTTGTCCTACCCTTGTGTCTGTTCTTCACTCCATCTGTATAAATGGTTAAAAGAAGAGCACTGCCAGTGTAGGAACTGATGAGAGCCTACTACAGGGTGGTCCATGGGACCACACAGCTCTGGCCTAGAAGCTCTTGCAAGGATGTCTGAAGAAATGACAAGGTGGGAAAGAAGGGGAACTGATGGATTTGGCGTCCCAGTAATTGCTGGTTGCAGAATGTCAATGGCCAAGTCTGGCTGGGTGGAGTAATTCAGAGATACCTTTGCCTGGTGTCCTCTTATTATGCGTCTCACCTGAGAACTACATTACAGAGCGTGTGCACTGATCTTCAGGGATTTAAAAAAACTGACGTGTAAAAGAATGAAAATCCAGGGGGAAAGTGATTTTTTGTGGGTTTTTTTTTTTTTTGATAACTAAAATGCATGATAACTTGAAGCTGAACAAAAATCTCATGCAGTGTCAGATCTAGGCGCCGAAATGCCATCTTACTGGGAGAGCCTGTTATTGATACACCCACCTATGTCTTGTTGAGAAGGAACGAGGGAACCTTCTTGATCCAGAATTAGTGGGGACAAGATGTATGGGTGCCAGAATGCTAAAAGTCATGCTAAGGATCCCAAGAAGAGGGAAGGGAAATCAAGCTTTGTGTGCTGGCTGAAAGGGAAGCTTCATTTAGGCTTAAATGAGGGAAGGTTGTCATGGAGAATTATCAAATGGTATGAAGACCTAAGGAGACAAGGGCCGAACACAGTACTTTGAAGAGAAATATTGAAAACATTGAGAAAGACTGGAAGATCTTTCATCTGACTTTCTGTGGTCAGATGGCTGAATGGCAGGAGTTGAATTCTTGTGAAATGCACTATTTATGGTTTTTACCTGTTCTTCAGTTACGCAGAGCTTCCGATAGTATGTGTTATACACTGAGATTAACTGTGTTACTGAGTCATATTTATGATTATTAGCTTCTGTGGAGCAGCTAGGACAGAGCTTTGTGATTTTGTGTGGTTTCTTTTTTTTTTGTTGTTAGATATAATACTCTTTAGTTATGTGATCACATATTGCTTCTGTTCTGCTTTCCCCTGGTTTCCTGATAATGCAGTGTTGGTAGCAAAAAGGTACAGAACAGCATGGGCAAATTGAGTCTATTTTTTTTCTTCTGAGTATTTGTCTAACTCAAGCAATACTCATTTAAGGTACTTTAATTTGCTGTTTAATGTACCATAATTACTAACATTTCTCTGAAGACTGCAGGCAATAAAACCTCTCCACTTTGAAAACCTGCCCTAATCCCTAATATTATCAGATCTCATGTTCTTCTGGAAAATGAAACTCATTCTTTGTAATCTTTCCTGAATGTCTATCTTCAGGCATTGATATCTGTGAGAAATGTCTTTTCCCTTTTACCTGCAGTGTGAATTACTTGGATTTTTACTATGATTTGAAATTGAAAAGGAAGAGAAGATTTAGACCCCTAAGAATGCAGTAAAACCAGATGTTTACTGAATGAGGGATCAGCCAGAAATATAAGTCATTTGATCTCCAAGAAGAGTTACCCATTTGGGCAATGTGGGTATCAGCAATACTAGCCCCTAGCCAACAATGTTGCCAGAAAAGAAGAGTGGAGAACCAGCCTCATGCATAGATGTTATTCTGAATTTTTCACAGAAATATCATTTCTAGGTATTGACATTTGGCTGTTACATGTTGCCAGCATGCCCTATAGCGACAGCAGATTTTGAGCTTATTATTCTATTGGATGAGGAAGATAAGCAAAAAATAAATTAGATGTTAGCAAAACCAGAAGGCATTGCACATAGTGAGGTTTTACCTAAACTGAAGATTCAAACACAACTTATGCATACTGAGAGTTATTCACTTACACTTAAACAGCTTCATTGAATTTAGAGATGCTGCTATCTCAAATGAAAGCAGAATATAGATTTTCTGTAGAAAGCATCTTATTTTCAAATGCCAGAGATTATTTTAACTGAATTATTCTTGGTATTAAATACATTTTCTGTAATAGACTACTTTTCAAGAGTTTATTTCTTTTGAAATATCTTTCTGATAGATTTTCATTATCAGAAGAGGAAAATATCTCTTTTTCCAGTATGCATCAGAATATAGTATCCCAATAGCACATGCAGACAAAAGTGTCAGAAGAACAAACCAATGATTCCAACCCCAGTATTTCACTTCCAGCCTTTTCATTAATGGAAATAAATGTGTTTTTCATTCTTTTTCAAAATGCTAGTTTATGTATTGTCTTAAGCACTTTACAAAAGTCAGGACTAGAAATGGGATACTATATATAATGTAATATCTAATATAAATAGTTGTCTATATATAGTTTTTTGACTTTATGTATGAATAGTAGCAGCTATTGGGGGATGTAAAATACATTACTATTAAGAGAATTTAGTTGAACAAACTGAAGCTTGTTCAATCAGGTCAGGGAAGCTAGTCTGCCTTTAGTAGTTTAACTAGACCTTTTTCTCATTGCACCACTGAGGTGTTGGTGGGAATAGTTGTTAGCAATATTCGTCTGTAAACTGATACCTTTCACAGGTGAAATGGAAGGATAAATGTAAATTAAGACAATTCGTGTTCGCCATCATGTCCACTCATAATTGATATGTTTCAGCTGTTTTTCCGAAATGTCTCTCAGTGATTACTGAAGCTGAAAAGGACAGCTGGACAGGGACCTACCTCTTCTAGGTAGGTTGGAAGTGTAGCAATAGTCATATGTTGCCATCTCTAGTGGTCTGAAGTCTGCTATGCCTTGCAGCATGGCAAACTGATCTACTGCAAGAACAGAGGAAGAACAGAACATTCTCTTTTTTTTTTTTTTTTTTAGCTGCAGTTTGGTCCATTTAAAGACTCATGCTTATTTTATTTTCTAAGATTTATCAGTTCTTCCTATAGTGGGTTTTTATTTCAGCTTCAGAAAAGCAAGTCATACTGTCATAAGAGCAAGAAAAACAAGATCCTCTTTTCATGTGCACTATTGTAATTAAGTTCATACTCTCTGTTCTGTCCTTCAATTCATACATGTCTTCTAAGAATTGGTTTTCTTAGAAGATATTAAATATAATAAAAGCTTTTGCATCTGTAGATTCTTAGCTGTCCAGATTTTTAGGGGTCTCAACAGCTGTGCTGTCCTTCAGAAAGCATAGCTTGTTTCAAGAAAGGTAGAAGTCTGGCATACGTTGATGAGTTTTGTCATCTGATTAAAGATCAGTACTTAAAAACATACTCAAAGAACTCAGCATGTATTTTTCTCAAATATATACTATATCCAGAAAGGAAAGCTATTTTTCATAAACATGGTCCTTTCTGTCTCTTTATCTACACCACCACCTTCCTCCTTTCCAATTTCCTAGTTTGTGCATTAAAACAAAATCTGTGATGGCCTTCAAATAGTTGGATATTTTTTAAAGAAATTAATAAGTACATAAAGCATATTAGTATGAAAATGATAGTTCTGTGTTATGTTTATTGCTCTCCTTGCATGAGGCATCTTAGTAAGAATGCTTTTTGTCATTATTTTAGACAAAATTTTATAATAGATAAGGGTAATGGATCCAATATTGGTTTGAAAGGCAAAAAGGATTATAAATATTATAAAAAGTTGATTAAAAGTCTCTTTCCAGAGGTCTCTGTTGAACTTAGTGAAAAACCTGGAGGTATGTCTGGTGATAATTAGGCATTGATTTTATTGGTACTAAACCTTAAACTAGACATGGACTTCTGTCTTTATCTTATTAATGTCTCAAGACCAAAATTTTAAGTATTACTTATTTTGCAGATGGAACAAGAATACAGGTGTTAATATGCTTTGTCTAGAAGTCTTTATAATAATATAAATTCTTTTCATGGTAGTACCCTAGATGGATAGTTTTTTTCACCAGTATTTGAAATATGAAGAAAGTATTTTCTCTTTTTATTTTTCTTCTACAGAAGTAAACATAAACCAGTTAGCATTTTAGCTTCTAGTGAGGGAAAAAAACCCAACATTTAAAACTATATAAGGGATGTGGTACGTTTTTGCAGAAAAAATAATAGCATTGTCATCTTTTGTAACAGAATAAAATGAAATGTAATAGTTTTGCCATTTCAGTTCTTGTATGGTGACACTCCCAATTTAAACTTTTTTAAGGATTCAGTCACTAAACGATGTCAAAATCTTTCTTGTAAAATAGATAATATCTATTAGAGTTGATGATGCTTTATGCAATTTAAGTTGCATACTTTTAAGTTGTCAATAGTATGAGCTTTATTGTTGGCTGCACAAGTGCCCTTTTACTTGGTGAATACATCCCATAATCCTGCACCTGCATGCTTGTCACTTCCGTACTTCAGTGCAAGATGCTGTTTTTAGGTCATCCTGTAGATGTATTTCATATTGTGAAGCATTTAAAATTGCCAGTATTTTAGTTACATTTGCATGCTGCCCATAGGCCATATATAAAGTTATTGATTATAAAAGAGCATTGCAAATAGATCTCAGCTAAAAATTAAAGTCTTGTTATACAGTCTTATCAACCCAAACTGAAATAATAACCAATGACCATGTTTTTAAAGGTAGTAAAGTCCCCAGAAAATGCAGAACTGCTCTTAAAAATATTTGGAAGAATGACTAAACACCTAAAATGAGCAGTGCAGCTGTGTTCCTGTTTAGAACATTACAAAAAAACAGTTTTTAAGACTTTGACCTAACGTATTGATCCTAACTTTTCAGGAGACTATTGATAATTGAGTCTTACACTGAAACCTACTCAATTGAGAAAGTAGATACATTGAATTGAAAACTGTAATGAGTCTCAGTGTTTGTCTGTTATCATATGTTCAGTTTACCACAAGGTATTACTGAAGTTGTCTTTTTACCAATTGAAATATATTTCCCACTAAAATTAGGGTTTTATGAATTCACATCCATGATTATTTTATCAATAGTGGTTATTTCTTAATACCTTGAAAACAAATTAATAGTTCAAGATATATTCCATTATGGTAGGCATATAATTTGCAATGATACAAATACTAAAAAATTAAAAAAATACAGTATGCTGCAGTTCTATAGTTATTGAACCAAAAATGGTTTTATCTAAGTCCAATATATTCCTTTTTTACACAAGCTCTTATAATTGTATAATTGATGTATTAGGTTGTAACTTACCCACTTTTTTATATTATTTTTGGTTTTCAGCTTTTTGAAGCACTTTCCAAATGTTTCACTTTGGATTTTTTTTTAAAAGACTGCCATTTTTGAAATCATCTCCTAGAAAAATGAGTTCTTTTTACATTTTACACTTTTATGTTAAATGTTATAGTAAGCAAACAGGCACGTAAGAGAGTTTAATCCTAAAAATGTTTATTGTCATACCATAACTATTGTATTAATTTTGCACGTAATAATTATTTAGCAGTATAATTGAATGTGCCACTGAATGGTGGAAGAGAGCAGAAAAATGAACTTAATTTCCTTATAAGTTTTTTGGTATGTGCTTACATTAGTTTTAGTTGGACCATTACAGATCTATATAAAAAGTTTTTTGTTTTGCTTTCCCTTTTGCAGTTGTTTGAGATCACAGTGCCTCTTTCTCATGGCCCCAAACCCGTAACTGTGAGTTTTGCCAATCACACGTCCTGCCGATGCATGTCCAAGCTGGATGTTTACAGACAAGTTCATTCTATCATAAGACGTTCCTTGCCAGCAACACAAACTCAGTAAGTATGAGACTTGTCTTCCCTTTCACATTATGAGCAAGCCTATATAATTAGATTATAAACAGTGCTGGAAGTTTTTATAGTTATGTGAACTACACAGTAGTAGTAGCAGAATGCATTGTGCAAGGGAGCTACCATATTTTTTACATTAAGAGAATGTTTCTAAATTAGCATTACCTTTTTATCCAGGAGATAAACTAGAGTGAGATAATTTAAAAATTAATAATAATGTTGTTTGTGGGAGTTGTTTGATGGAAAGAGCTGCAATCCAATTGAGACTTGAAGGAAACACCAGCAAAATCAATTTATTTTTTTAAAAGTAGTCAAGAAAAGCTAAAAATACTTACCTTTGCAAATAAGTAGGAGACCTCATTTCCCTCTCAATCCGTATTTTCCTAGTTAAAATGCTGTTTTTTAAGAAAGGACTATTTTTTATGGAATCTTTAACTACAAATCTTTTGTGACAGTTTCATATGCCAGAGATGAAAATAAAATGGAAAGGGAAAGTAAAGGGTTAATTGACACTCTGCAGGATTACCATATAGATTTTTTTTGTGTGATTTTTGAATTAAAAAAGCCACAGAAGAAATCTGGCACCAAAACAAGTGTTATTAGAACACTTGAAGAACTCCTTCCTTCATTTAGAGGTCTGAGTAATGATTTCATGATGTATATGTATTTAGGAGCCCAAAAATATATAATAGTCTAATGGTTGCTTTAAGGAAGAACCAGTTAATAGAAGCTGAACTGGAATTAATTTTAGACATTTTTAATAAGGTGAGTGAACAGTGCAAACTTCGCAGAGATGTTAAGCTAAGTATTTTTCTCTGTGGTTTCACTCAGTTTAAGTCTGGATGTTTTCTGACGCGTTCCAGTTAAACTCAGATTGTATTCTCTTTGAATACAAATCATTTAATTTTTTCATCAAAACATAGATCATTAACAGTGATTGGAAATATATTAGGAAATTAATCTATGAATTTTTTTTTAATCACATAATTATCAAATTATTAAAAAAACACAAACCCAAGAGTCAATAGTAAAGTCAAATTATGCTGACTGTTGCCAGCCTCTTAGTGTTTCCATGTTGAGAGCTGTTGTAATTACCAGTGCAAGAGTTATTCTAGCTAGGAAACAGCTACCTGTAGTTGAGGGAGGTGGGTGTACAAATACAAGGCTTTGAACAGCACACAGGTACCTGTCTGTTCTGTGAGTAAGGAATCGTGCTTCAACAAAGATAAGACAAACTAATACTAGGTCAGAATATATACAGGCTTTCTCTACTGTTCAGTACTCTCTCTATGTTTAGAATCTATGGCTTTGTACAATAAAACAGAAAAAAACCCCATCAAATACTAAGTTGAGTGCTTCTAGATTCTAGAAAGGAAAGAAATTTGCATGTTCCTGGTGGGTTCCTGGATGGGTTTCAGAATCCCATTAGTTTTTTTTTAATTTGTAGTAAAGTATTTCTTTTCAACTTATTATTTTTTTCCTTAACATTTTGATTCATAGGTTTGAATGCTAGTGAAGCTATTATTAAGCCAAAACTTGGAAATCTACTGTCTTGTCACAGTGGCAGGTCTGCATGTGTGCATGTATTTATGTACATGCTCATTTTAACAGAAAAATATAAATTACTTTCTTATGTATTACTGAATAGAAAAGCCTAAGAGTAAAGTCTCTGGTTTTAGGGTAGTAACCCTTGGGATTTAATAAGAATTCAAGGCTGGATTATACCAAGATGCACAGGCATATCGTAGAAAGAAGAGAGAGACCACATGTAAAGTATAATACAAATAGTTTATATTTTTTATATAAAATATGTTTTCTGCATGACTTTATCCTGAGAATTAAGGTCTAGGTCTTTGACTGTTCTCCCACTTTTTTCCTTTCTTTCCCCCCTTCTAAAAACTAATAGCTGTTTCTATGTACTTGTGGAATGGAGGCATGTCAGTTGGTATTAGCCAGTGTTTCAGAATACATCCTGGATTAATGGTATTTTAAGTAGTACTCTCCTCCATTTATATGGAATGTCATCAAGACATGTACCTGAGTTACAAAATTGTCACCCTGTTTTAAAAGTTCAGGGATTAGAGGTAGGGCGGAACAGAGAGGACTTCAAGATACATAATTCAGATCAAGTCTCTACAATTACCTCTTTGCCTCAAGACTTTTTTTTTTTCAGTTGAGTGGACAATAATACAAAAAGAGGTGATGACATTTTCTGCAAAGTGGTTTTGCATCTGATTTTTTTTTTCTAGCCTTTCTGAACTTTTCTAAAATGTCATTTTAAATTTTCAACCAATTGTCTGTACTAGAAACCAGAGTAGAACTTTTAAACAAGCAGCTCCATTCCTTTTGCTGGGTGTCTCCAACCCTGATACTGAAATTCATTTAATTCTGTTCAAGTTCTGGTAATTTGGGCTTTGTATCAACATTGCTCATGAATTCACATGCACTTGGTGTTTTCTTCATACTGTCACCTTGGTTTCCTTCTCTAATTAGTTTTAAACACTCCCAGCTAGAGCCAGGCTGCTCCAGGTGTGAGTGTGGGGGTTTTTTTGTTCTTTAATTTTATTTTTTTTAACAAAATAGAGTAATATGTCTGTAAATTATCTTTACTATTTCTCGAGCAGAATCAGGAGGCAGGCTAAAGGAAACTTGCCAAGTGAGGGAGCAAGAGTGAGAACACTAGTGGAATGAAATCAGAAAACACCAGTTTCATAAAACATGAGGTGATGTTAAATTACAGCAGCCTTTACAATCAGAGTGGTTTAATGTGTTGGAGAGGAGTGGTGTACTTGAGTGGTGGTCACAGAATGTCCCAGCACCTGCATTTTTGAATGCATGAGTAATGGTGCTCAGGGGAAAGAAAAGTGCATCATATGTGTAATATATGTGTTGCTTTAACAGATTAGGAGGATTTTAGAAATACTACAGAAACTATGAATAAATGACACAGCCTGGATACATGAGATGTATCAAAGTTGTAATGTCAGCTCTGATGATAAAGAAATTGCAAGCAAGGAAGATGGGATAATACACATAAACATTCTATCTGTGGCTCATCCACTAGCTCAGTTCACTCAGTCTTTAAAAAGGCAAGAGCTGCTGCTTGAATTTTTGGCTTTTTTTGGGTATAATTACCTTGGCTGCAAAACTGTAGCAGATAAAGAGCAGAGAAAGAGTTAACTTCTGTATTGCCTTTTATTTCCAAAGTGAAGAGCCATCACTGCTGACATCCATATCTTTAGGTTCAAGAAACCTGTCCAGAATTTGAGTGATTAATGAGAAAGTGTCAGTTAATGACACATAACTTTCACATAAAGGGGAAAAGAATCTGATAAACTGATTGTATTTTTTAAATCAAAGCTTTGTCTACAGCATTCATTCAGAAACTATTATCTGCTGTCTTTTGACATCTTATGTGTAAAAACATTTTTGAACCTCAAAAAGCAACATAAAAAATGTTGTTACCACTATACAGTATTTGGCATATTTTTAATATTTTTTTTATTTTCTAGATGAGGCTTATATTCCAGGATTAGATCTGTTTCCGAACTACATTAGCAAAGTACAAATATCACCTTTTAGAAGTTATAGCTGAAACTTGAAATGTGAGCTGCTTTCTTCAACAAATGGTTGGAGATCCTCCCTGTATTGGGGAGGACCTTAAATAGTAACAGATTTGATAGGAGTAAAAAATAAGACTATTAATGAGGTGACACTCTTAGAAAGATATTTTTAGTGGAGAGGAAGTAAGGCAGTCAACACCTAGAAACTATTCTTTTTCCTTTTGAATTCTTATGGTAGTAAATGAACAGCATATTTAATTTCACAGGTGTCATGTGGCAAACAAAACTTGTCCAAAAAATCATATTTGGAATAATCAAATTTGCAGATGTTTGTCGCAGCATGATTTTGGTTTCTCTTCTCACCTTGGAGATTCTGGTAAGCACTTTTTCTTATAAGACTGAATGTAACTCTACATTTTGATTCAACTAAAGGAGAAATTAAAAACAAGAAGTAATTAGTTGTGTCTTTTTCTGTATTGATAATATTACTCTGTATTGCCTGTCTTTTGACATGTACTTGTTCTTGAAACATCTTAAAAGGTATGGATTTGCTGTCATTTCTTCATATAAAACTGGGTGAGTGGGTAGACACAAAATTCTGGTAATAGTGCAACTTCTCTGCTATATTTCTAGATACATCTGAAGGATTCCATATTTGTGGACCAAACAAAGAGCTGGATGAAGAAACCTGTCAATGTGTCTGCAAAGGAGGCATGAGGCCCTCAAGCTGTGGACCTCACAAAGAATTAGACAGATCATCATGTCAGTGTATGTGCAAAAACAAACTTATCCCTGCTTCCTGTGGGCCCAATAAGGAATTTGATGAAGAAAAGTGCCAGTGTCTATGTAAAAAGACCTGTCCTAAACATCAACCTCTAAATCCTGCAAAATGCATCTGTGAATGTATAGAATCTCCCAATAAATGCTTCTTAAAAGGAAAAAGGTTCCACCACCAGACTTGCAGGTAAAAACGCAGTCTTTAGTTCTTTCATTGTGTTTAAGGCATAAAATTCTGCACTGTGACATTAGCTGGCTGTTGAATTGCTTTGTAGTCTTAAGTAAACAGTAAGCCTGTCTTCAGTTCAGTTTTATCTTCTGTGACTTTTATAAACTCTTAATAGGTAACTATTAGGCATAATAAGTATTCTAAAGCATAGTTTCTTGTACTCTTGCTACTACTACAGCATGTGATTTTTTTTTCTTTTCAGAAAAATTAAGTCTAAGCTTAATTTTTCAAGCTCCTTGTCTTCTATATTATTTAAAATCCCGCTCTATTTTTCCCAAGAACTGAATATTGCAATTTAAGTAACTCAAATATTCATATAACTCAAATATTCCTAGTTAGATTTCAGGCCTTAGTTCTGGAGATACCATCATTCATTCTCGCTTCATAAATTTTGGAATCACCCAGCTCTGGGTGATTTCTGTGAAAAGTGGACATATGTAACTATAAAACAGACTGCCTGCATCCATCATTTAAAATGAGATTTAGTCAGGAAGAAAACTGCAATTTCTTTATATATCACAAGACCTTTTCCTTCCATGACTGCTACACCCATAACATTAGCAGTCTGTATATAAAAATGAGGATGACTTTAGGTTCTGAGAAACAAAAGTGTTATTTCTGCTTTGTATATTACGTGACGAAAGTTATCCTGTAAAGTCAGTTCTCTTGTAAATTTATTAAAGCAGATACAATGCAGTTTGGAGCAGAAAGATCACTTATTTTTTAAAAAGGGTGAATTATTTCTATTATATCAATGAAAAATAACTTTTAAGGCATTGGAAATGGAAAATAGCAAATTGGGACATTTAAATGTATAGCAATATATTGCTTATCAAAAAATCTGTAAATTTTAATATAACATGTAATTAGTTGGAGTAAATATATTGCCACGTATACATTAGTTCATCTTAATGAAAAAATGTCTATTATTAGGAATGACACGTGTTGAAGTCACTAAAATAGGGGAAAATATTAATAGCAATGGGCATTACCTATTTTTCTATGTTTGGCCTTTTGACTGAAATATCAGAGTTGTTAAACATCAGAAATTATTTCTTCTCTATCATTCAACTCATATAATTTCAATTTTATGTTTGCAGAGGAAAAGAAGCCAACCTGATTACATAAGCTTTACATATTGCAAAGCCTTGGCACTACTCTAGTGTGCACTTCCAGCAACAAATATAAACCATGTGCACTTTAAAAGAACATTCATGACTGGAGAAGTCAGGCATTTAAAAAGCTAAGAAATGCCATAAGAAATATGTATTTTTTTAAAGACTTAGTATTTGAAAGAGGAAATTGAGTTCAACTTTTCTCTGTTATGTTGTGATTGAATATAATACAGTTTGAATCACTTTCTCACTTCTGAGGGCAGTGTGATATAGGATGCTTTTAGCTGTTTCTGTTTTCTAAGCAGTTTGTGTGCAGAAGGAAATATTTGTATATGGTATTACTCTATACGTCTTCAACCAATAGTCCTGTAGAGGTTAGCACTGTCAAGGAAAATAGAAGATGCAATCTCTCCTGCTTAAGAAAGGACTTAGCATAGGTTTCTCATGTTTTGGCTCTGTCCAGCACAACCTAATTCAAAAAGGAATAAAAATTCTATAACATCCTGTTTGAAAGATCCCTTGCTGTCCTGAGACCACATAAATAGAGGTACCACTCTATTGCAAGATGCCAGAGCCCTAGACATGAGCAGAATCCTGTAGCTGTGGCCTAGACAGCTCCCTGTGGAGAGAAGTGATCCTTGTAGCTTCTGGTTTTGAAGCACCAATACTTTTATGCACTGTATCTAAAATCCCTCTGCCTAGGGCTATGCCCTGTTTCAGAGAAAAGGAATAAAAAGTCATCTACAAATGCAAAGAACAGGATGAAAGATAAAAAGGGGGGAAAAAAGCATACTGACTTTAATGCTGATGATGCTGTTAGCAACTCTGGAAGTAGCATTTCTACTTGTTTCATCTGTGTTGTTAAGACTGCCTCAATGACAATTTGGGCATTCTGCAGCAAAAAATCGCAATTACTGACCACAAAGAGAAAGTTGCTGCTGACGTGCCCAGAACTGTGTGTAGTGACTGAACATCTGTCTTAGTTCCAGCATGCTCAGATTATCCTCATCAAAGCAGACATCTGTCACATGAAAACGCCCTGTAAACAGCATTCAGCCCAAATCTTTTGAAAGACCAGGTCTATTGTTCAGCAGTTTCCTAAGGAAACCACATTTATGTAGTTACAATGACCCTACCACTATTCACCCTGTGCTGTCACCTTAAAAATTTATTTTTGGTCAGTTTTGGTAGGGCCAGATAACTAGGCACTTCAGCTGCAAAGCATTTTAGAGGAGGATAGAGACTTTCTTGTTCAGTTGAAAAGTCCCAAATAAGGATAAGACTGCAGTAACCCGACCTTAACTGCTGCTAGACATAAAATCACATGGGAGAGATGCTGTGTAGCACTCTCCTCTGTGAGTTGAAGTTCACAAGGAAGCATGAATTCTAAACAAACTGAACTCCTCATACTTAATGACTGTGTGACTGCTTTACATTGTGTACAATCATAGGTGTGTGGAAGAGTTTGGCTTTGCCTCTTTTTCTTCTTATTTCATTTTCCTGTCATTCAGTACATGAAATGGTCTAAATTTGCATGACAGAGATAGGCAAAAAGGTGAGTTCAGTGTTTTATCATTGCATATCTGTGCAGTACCTTTTTCCGAGAACAAACCTGCTGCTGGCTGCCTGTTTGCTCACAGTTAGATCCTTTTGCAAACCATTTTGTTGCTTTTTACCACCATTTCCAGACTTTTTGGGGAAAAGATGAATAGAGCTTCGAGAGATTCCCATGAGCTGCTACACTGATTTCAAGTATCTATATTAAGTGGCACAAAATAATGTTTCTCCCTTAATTACAAAGACCACACTGGTGAACTAATCTATGATAAATGACATTGAAAACACTGAACAAGATGTGACTAGTTAATAAATGTCATGTTTGCAGTCTTCCTCATTCCTTATTGTTTTCCTCATAGCCAGTTTCATTGGTTGAACTAGCTGGAGTGAATTAATGTAATTGTAATGCAGACCTTATATCATAAACAAATTATTGTGAAGTAGTAACTTGGTATCCAAACCAAGCATCCAGAATTCTGACTTATCGTCAGCTTATTTAAGTACAAGTTTTAAGTATAACTGTGATGAAATTCAAAACATATACTTTTGTCTTTTGACTCGTTGCCAATGTAGGAAAAAAACCCCCAGACTTGTACTTTGTCTCCATTATACACCAGAAAGTATTCAGCATTGTTATTGTAGGGTTATTTTAGGTCAAGTTCTTGTTTTAATAGAAAAGTAAAATAGGAAAAGGAAGGGTTCAGGGACAACCACAGATACTATCTTTGTATAAAGTTCTATTTTTCAGTCAAGGAATTGATGGAAGAAAAATTCTGCTACTCCTTAGGTACATGTTATTTGTGGTTCAATGTTCTATTTCTGTCAAACTTATTTTAACCAAGTAGGTATGAATTCTGTTCATTTCTAGTAATATTTATCAGAAACATGATAAATAGGCTCTGATTTTTCTTCAGAATGCACACAAATACAATATGAAGTGTAGATACATTCCCACTCAGAGACTGGCTATGGGAATTTGCAGCTTGAAAGGAAGTATGGTCTCATTTTCAAGATCAGAGTCGCAGTTTAATATATGTAGACAAATCTCTCAGGCTTATTGCAATAATGAATAAGGTGAGAAACAGTCTGGGGATAGTAGATGATAGATTTGATTTTGACGTGATTCTGGATCATCACCTCAAACTTGCAGCGTGCAGTAGGTCATAACAAGCCAATTTGAGTACAGAAAAATATCCTATTTTAAAAATTAAATTTAAGGAAACACTACTCAAGATTAGTGTGACTACAGCCAGGCAGTGTGGTAAAAAATACTCATGTGTATCTGTGACAATAGAATAATTTCTCTTCAGTAGCATTCATTATTCTTTCAGTGTCTTTTGTGAAGAGTAGTCCAACTAAATTAGTGGCAAGAACAAAAAAAGAGGTTAAAATATATGTATTTGTAGGAATTAAATATCACACTGAGAAATGGCAATGTAAAGGCACACAGATTTCTACTCCAGGCAAATATAAGTGATCATATTATATTAATGTCCACTTTTTTCATTTCTTTAGCTGTTACAGACCACCGTGTACAGTCCGAACGAAACGCTGCGATGCTGGATTTTACTTTAGTGAAGAAGTGTGCCGCTGTGTACCCACATATTGGAAAAGACCACTTATGAATTAGTGAAGAGATCACTACTTGCTATGTTGGTGTACATTTTTCCATTAGAACAAAAGAAGAACAGAAACTTTGCTAATATTTGGAATTAAATGTTCACCAGAGACCCTGTGGGGCTTTCAGAGACAGACTCGTGCTTTTCTCAAGATGTGGAAAGCAAATGTAGAAGATAACTGGGGTTCATGTTTTGTAAAGAACTCAATAAGAACTTATTTTCTGCCAATGACCAAACAGCCTAGGTTCTCCTTCTTGTGATTTTTTTAAGAGATAATGACTATATAATTTATTTCCACTAAAACCATCGTGCAGCATTTCTGTTTATAGCAGTAACAATTGTTAAAGCTCACTGTGATCAATATTTTTATATCATGCAAAGTATGTTTAAAATAAAATGGAAATTGTATTATATAATAGTGAGAATGTTTAATCATCTGGCTGAAAAGGAACTCGGATTCAGCTTTATTTTCAGGGTTTTTAACAGAGGAAAAGGTGATTAGGAGAAAGCACTTTTAGGAAAGGAAGACTACAGACATTGCCTCATACATTTTGTGTATGTAATTTGAAATAGAAACAGTTATACTGGAATTTTCATGACCCAGTGATATTTCTGCCTCTAGAACGAAACTAGCAAAGCAAGTACAATTAATAACTAATGAAAACATTGGAGATCCTGTACATTGCTTAAGGATAAGGACTATGTTTAAAGCACAGCAGCAACTACTCACATTCCAATATATTCACCTTCTCTTCTGTTTCTTGTTAATATTCCTAAGGAATAAGATAAAGTAATGTCTATTCAAGGTTATTAGTATGAAAGCGGAAATAACAACACTGCATTTTGTTTAGTATAACAAACTACAGTGTAAATTTTACAGCTAAATCATTCAAAATGCTTTGATGCGCTTTACTCTCTCATATAGCTGGTCAGATATCTTGATCAATGTATGTGTATGCAAAAATATTTTGAAGGAAAAAAAAAGCAATTTATATTCCAATAGGGAGATAAAAGAACTTATACCAGTCTGGTGTGGATTGACATAGTCTCTACATTAAAAAATTCCCTTTTTTTAAGAAAATGTGAAATTGAATATCTGCAATTCTAAAAAGAAGTAAGATTTTTAACTTGCATGGGAAGAGCAATTTATTCAAAATTAAAATATATCAGAAACTGTTAAAATATGAAAAATTTGTTGGGTGCAGAAGTGGAACAAGCAAAGCTGCAAAGCAAGATTTTTGTGAAAGGAGTAGGCAGATCAGTAAAAATAATTGTAGACATCAGTACTGGTTCTAAGCAGCTGTTCTTAAAAGAGTTATTAATGAAGTACTATCATATCCTAGAAGGTTGGTTAGGAGAAGTTACTTTTCTAGGTTCTTGATATTTGGATATCATAGTTCATTAAAGGAGTGAGAGTTGCTTTGAATTACTCAGTTTCCATCATGGGTTGAGGCAGTCTAACGGGATGAGAAACAGCACTTTCCACTGTATGCCTAGTATACTCATTGTTCTTCCTCAGAGGATGGCTATTTGTTATCCAGATAGGCTAACAGAGTGAAGTTTAGGCATGCAAATACTGAGGAATGTCCTTATTACTATATTGCTTCAGGTAGAACTTTGGATGACAATTAACACTGATATACAACTTAAGCTAATATAACAACCGACAATTCCCATTGGTTGGATTTGTAGTCATGCAAATCATCAGTGTCTAAATCGGCAATGTCAACATAATAGCAAGAGGCTAACAATCAAACTTCAATTCAGTATTGGTAAAAATCCAGGCATCCATGTCTGTAGGTCAGCTGCTTGAAGGAAGCATAAAATACCTTAAGAAATCAATTAAAGAGCAAACTTCTATGAAGACTTGAGAAGAAATACTGTAGGTAAAGCTCCCAAAATAAGCTATCCCAAAATTTCTATCCCAGCTCAAACAGAAGAGAGGCAGTGGGGGGAAGAACAAACCAAATCTGGAACGAGGAAACATTGAAAACTTCTGGACATAAGTTATACTAATCACTAAGTAAAACTAAGATTTAGAAAAAGTAAATTCCTGACTTGTAAAAGTTACCACAAATCAAATTTATGTCTGAGCAAAGCGACTAGTTAACCATTCTTAAAGTTATGCAGGTGCGTACAATAATACATGCAAGCAGTTGATAACATTTTATAATTATCAGGCTTTCCAATTCTGCTTTCTGTGATAATAATGTTTTAAAAATGCCTTTTATACATCATGATTATTACCATTAGTATTGAATACAGACTCCCATTCTGCGTGATAAAATGTGATTCTGTTTATCTCCACAGTGTCACAAAATAATCTGTATAACAGGTCTTCCTTGCATATATTATATAAAGTAGCTGATAGGTCTACACCATTTTCAGTTTTGATGTGTTATTTGATTATGATCTTGAAATTTTCATCTTCACTTTATATCTTAATTTACTGTTCTTAAAATATCTAAAAATAGGCTATACAGCTTAAAAGGTCTAACAAGATAGACGATAATTCTATATACAAGTTATTCTGCACTAATTCTGAGTAAAAAGCTTTTATTGTTATTTGTCTAAAAGCCCTGTACCTTGTACAAAACTTACAAGGTGGGTGGGAGAGGAAGAATGCATGTAACTGCAGTAAATCACATTTAATGGTAAACAGACTTATGCTTGCATTTCATCAGGAATTTACAACAGTTTCTGTACTCTTTCAATATTGTACTGTATGGAGACCATAAATTATGCAGAGTAAGCCCTCTCTACCTGTATTACCAGAAGGACGTACTATTTACAGTGTGAGTATTGTTAGTCTGCTGACATGTTTGTTTAATTCATGTTGAACAAGTTCATAGTAAATCAGTTCTCTTACTTCTATTTGAAAGACCAGCCTGAAATCTTGCATATGTACTGTATCAACTTGAAAGGCTTAGTGTTAGGGTTGCTTTCAGTATTCTCTTTTCAGTCTTTAGATCTCAGTGACAACTCCAGATGCCCTTGAATTTTAACATCTCTCTCTCTCTGTGTGTTTTTTTTTGAAGTATAACCAGATATCACATCTATGCCAAAATACAGGAATGGAATCATTTATGTAAGCTCATCAAGAGATTATCCTGAGGAATAGACTATGTTCTTTTAAATATTATTTATTTTATATTTCATTTAAGAATTTATTCTTTAAAGATTATGTAATTTATAAAATATTTAATTTTGCATTGTTTGGAGGTACAAAAGGTTGCTGTTAAGTAGAAAAGTTTAAAAGTGGTCAATGCAGAATTTTCAGAAATTTTCAATTTAGAAAATACAATATAGTAATAATTCTTAATATTATTGGATCTTTCTTGAAAAAAATGAAAGTAATAGTTGATAATTTATTTAATAGCTTCCTTTTGTTCTTTTCCTCTTTTCATTTTGCATTGCAGATAAAACTTCTGAGAAAGAACACAGGACAACCTACTGATTGAGTGAACAAGTGGACCAGGTATTTAATTATTTAAAATTAATTACTAGCTAATAAGAACTAATAAAATTAGACCAGTTTAATACAGCTTTAAGACTCTAGATTACATTAGAGTTCTTAAAAGGTCTGGATAGATAAAACATTTTTATAAAATACATATCTGGACTCATCTATATTTTCATGTGCAAATGTTGTAATGAAATATTAGCAGTAGAAAGCATTAAGAACTCACCAATTTTACAATAAAAGTTTCTAAAATGTCACTAATTTATCATTAAAAAATTTATATTTTATCTGTAGTCTGAAGCTATGAATCAGGGACCTTACTTCATCTTGAGAATTATTGAAATACAAAGCATAGCACATTCTAGAAGAAAAAAAATTTAAAACACAGTGCTTTACTCTTTTGTGTAAGCATTTCTTCTTCTGGAGAGAAACTACAGAAATCTCTATTAATTGTGTATTACCATTTATTCCCTCTTCTTCTGAGCAAGACCCTGTCATGAAAATTACATTTTTTGTATTCAGATATTTCTCCTGACTAAGGGTACTGTATCCATTCCTGACAGACACTGACCTTTCAGCTGAGTTTCAGCAAATTTTTATCCTTTTTCTACATTTATAATCAGCCATATGTGGTCATTGAACTCTTCCCCTTTGCCCCCTTTCTCAACTTAAATCACTTCTCTTACATTTCTGGACCATGTCTCAGTCTCCCCATAAGATTATCTGTATTTCCCTGTCAGCCTTTCTCACATATAACTGTTAACTCTAACCCTTCCATTTCCCTTTTATATCCAATCTCTCACTAATAATAGCATTGCTTTCCTCTCTATTATCATTAAGACTTCTTTCTTCTCTTTACTTTAAATACTCATGCCAATATAGGGATTAATCTGGTTTTAGATGCTTAGTGATTCTCTTCACTACACATACATGAAAGCAAGTGTTAAAAAGAAGTCTGAAACTTCACATTCCGAGTTTGCAAATCCAATCTGTCCAAGCAAATAATAATAATAAAAAGTATTGCAATTGAGACCTCCCCAAAGCAAACTTGCAAAAAAAAATAACAGATGTATAAATCACTGTAGCATATTACACTTGAAACATAAAAGACAGTTTATAATATCACTCTCCCTGTAAAAAAACACAAGTTTTAATTCTGCTGGATGCTGGATACTATCCCTACTGTCTAAAAGTGCACTCACAGCAATGTCCAGCGCAGCATTTTGGAACTAAATTCAGGCTTGCAATTGAGTTTATTTTCGCATGTCATTCATGCTATGAGAGAAAAAAATCCACGGCTGAAGGGCCAGTAAGGAGACTTTTCAAACATACCACAAAACCCTTGAGTTTTGTGCTCTTCCTTAGCAGAGACATACCCTCCTCCATGCTTTACAGTACTGTGAAGACAGACGAAATGGGGTTACAGGATCCTTCCCAGTGAAATGCCATATCAAACTGTAATTAAGCCTTAAGCATACTCACCATTCAGTACTTAAAACTTCCTTATCACTGAAGAATCTGTAAAGAGTAAAATGAAAGGACATATAAAGGAAAAATATACCAGGGATTAGATCCACAATTGACTTTATAGTCATCGTGAGGGGTACCTAAATTCTAGACTTAGACCATAAAAATCCTCATTCATTTGCTCCCAATTCATAGGAGACAATTTCCAAAGTAATTTTCCCTAATCTGAAGATGCACTTCTGCAAATGCCTATAATGCAGCATATGCCTAAACTCCATCAAGATATGTGAACTGATGACTTCTCTGTTTTACCTGTGAAGTAAAATTCAGTAGGTATTCAGAATGTTCTGACAGCTTTATGCCCAAAAGCCCTGGAAAACGTTCCCTCCCTTCTGTTTAAGTTATTATACTTTGTATTAAATAAGTAAATAAAATTCAGATCAGAAATTGAGAACCTAATATGCTAAACTGCTGTTGTTGATT